CACAATTGTAACAAGTAACAATGGCCGTTCGGGATATTCCGCTACAATATTATAATAAAAATTTTACATGGTGGAGGAAAGCTCGGGCGGGCATAAAACCTCCACCTTTTCATAGTATGAATTAAAAAAAATATAGAGAATTTTCCATGCGCGGATTTATAAAATTAGAACTGGTGTATAAAATAATACTGACAAATACCGGCCAAGGTATAATAATAATAAGAGAATAGTTTTGATTTTTTTAATTATAATATATTACCGACCAATCGGACAATTGGTCGTCGTCCCAAGACGCACCGGCATGGTCCGGTTTACTCGTTCATGTTGTGGACGACGGAACAGCTACACAAAAAGTGAGCCAGTATAATATTTTTCAGAAATATACGAAAACTGGCTTATTGAAATAATAATAATAATATTATTATTTAATTATAATAATTGGCCGATACTCGTTATCATGCAATTATTACATGACCACCCACTAACATACCACACACAAACGGATAGAGAGGTGTGCAATTATAGAGGTTGGAGGGAATTCCAAATGTGTTTTCGTTCATCGATGTTATAGGTGATGAAGTAGTCGCGCATTTATTTAATATGGTTATTATTTATTGAGGAAAACCAAACACGGACACTAATCTATTTTGATCGTTACAGTGTACTCATCACTGTCACGACAACCCTGTTTCAAATATCGTTTCATGTTTTTTTATAGTTTAAACATTGATTTGTGAATTACCACTTATTATATCATTATTCAGTATTTAAATTTTTAAAATATACACTACTATATATTTTTAAGGTTGGAGACTTGCGTTCGATGGTTTCAGTAGATAGTACATTGGAAGGTCTGTTTCACTTTCATAGGATTTTAATCTGATAACTTTACCTCATAGATATACAATAATTATAAATAAAAATAATTTAATTATAACAATACCAAAACAACCGTAAAAAACCTTTACAAAAAATTATATGTTCCGGTGAGGTTCCGGTTCCGGTTCCAATCCCTGCCTGCAATATAATATATATGATATTTAAACAATAAATATTAATCTATTATTGTACCATTCTAAACATGAGTTTATACAATGCATACTAAATCACATGAAAAATCGGAATTAATATATTGTTACGGACTATCGAGAGATAATGCCGTACACAAATAAACAAACACTCTCGAACTAGTTTTACTTTTATATTTGTACTTGAAAAGAAACTTTCATTAAATAAAATACATTAAATGTTCTGAATGCTCTGAAGGCTCTGTTATATTAATGTTCTGCACCAAAAACTACGACTGACTGCTACGTGTGTGAGCCCTTGTGTACGAGCTGGTCGTCCGGTCAAAAGGGTTTATTCAGCAGATTCCTTAGACCAGTAGTATGGGTAGGGAGTCTCACTCGCCTTTCGTCGCACACGCATCAGTTTACAATATTTAACATAATATATTTCAAACACATAGTGTTTCCCAACAAATAAAATATAATATAGTGGTTCTTAACAATATACTAATTATTATACTATTAGAGAAGTATAGTTTACCACCCCATGGATTTGTTTTATACAATTTCTGGGAATTTGTGAAATCGACTAAAATTATGAGCTTTTGGCATATTGGAAATCGAAATGCAATCGTTGTGTTTTTTTTTCTTCTACGGATCACATACCCGTAGTCATTTGCTTTGTGTTTTTGCAGTTTTACTTCGGTTTTCAGTGCTTAAAATAATATGACCAGTTCGATCGTATTTAATACTGCTAAAAAGTTCAAGTATATCGCACCTTCACCCCCGAATAACCTTATCGATGCATCTACATTTACCGTCGACTTCGCTGCTCGTTAATTCACTAGTATCGGATTAGATCCGACAAACCACTTCATTTTAACCGTGCATATTCTAAGTCCATCACGTCACGTAACTATTTTAGTGGACTTCCTACGGAAAATATTTTCGTTTATGGGAAATATCCAATCGATTATTCATAAACAACCAATAAGTTATAAACGGAACATATTTTTGGAAACCGATTGTATACGAGTCTCCAGTATAGTGTGTATCAAGGCGAAAACGTGATGATGATAGAATATATAAATCAAGACGGCTGCCGTGTATTACTTAACTGTTCAGATCTTATAACTATATAATATTTGAAATGGTGTATATCATAGATGGACATTTGGTTGAATTTTGGGGGGGGGGGCTATAAGAATTCAATGACAAATAACCCGCAGGGGTTTCGCCCCCACACCCTTTTCCCGTGCAAAAGTAAAACTTATTACTATTAAAAATATAGATATGTTTAAATTGTATTAAAAAAAACACTAAATAACGTATATTTAAAAATAATTAATATTTTATTTTAATGAAAAATATTTATTTGTATCAGCAAATATATTTAAAATAACATCGCTTTTTATATTTTTCGACATGTCTTTTTCAATATATAGTATTGAAAGATTGCTGAACCTATCTTGAACCAATGATGTCCTTAGCCAAGTTTCTATTTTTTTCATTGCACTGAAACTTCTTTCGCAAGTAGCCGAACTAATTGGTATTTTTAATGCTATTGTAAATAGTTTTTTTATTTTTTATTATTTATATTATGTAATATACATATATATATATATATACACATATTATTATTATTATTAATATTATTTAACCTTCTGAACAAGTAATAGTAAACACATCATTGATAAATGAGAATAGGTACTGAAATAAACACTATTTTTGATAATATTATATTACAACCACGTTCAACAAAGCAAAACAGGTTAAATCTACCGTCACACAGTGATTCGAATTATTAATCTAACTGGACAAAATTATTTTCATTTCAGATTGAGTTAATAATAGTATATTTGTACATCTACTACCTACCTGTGATATGTTTTTCATTTTTTAGGGTACCTGAATAATATTAAATTAAAAATGAGATAATCAAATTAAAAATAATTTGAAAAAACATTTATGGTATTTGATTACATACATAAATAACTAAATACATGTTATTATCAGTGGCGTGTCATACATGTGTGCAATGTGTGCAAATGCCACGGGCCCTCGGCCCGTGGGGCCGTGGGGGGCCCATTATTGATCAATGTTCCTCAAAAAAAAAAGAATTAAATAAATACAGTTAATATGTACGAAAAAGTAAAAAAAATTGTTTTCAATTTTAAAAGATTTTCATTTTCTCAAATCTGATATCATTGTTATAATCTATAAAATATATAGATATTGTATTTCTGTGATGTACCTACTGTATTTCTGTGACGGCGACTAAACGTTATTTATAGCAATCTGTTTCCCGTGGTTTTTCGTTATCGCCTTGTCGATTTTGCTTATCCATATTATTTTTATTTTTATTTTTTTTGTATTATGTATACCGGTACACGTATAATATAGACGTCTATGACATGAATTTACGCGATTAAATATTATCGTATTACTTTTGTTGTATTATTTTGTGATAGTGCGATACTCAGTCTTGTTCTTTGTCGTCGTTCAGTGTCTATTGAAATAATTTACAAAAAACTCAATAAAATATTGTATTTTATTAATTACTATTATAATGGCATCAAAATCTGCCAGTGGTGCTGCGAAACGCAAAATAAAAAAACAAAGAGAAGAATCTGTTAAGCGGATGCCGAAAATTGACACATATTTCAAACAAAACCACGAAGAAACAGAAGAGCAAGATATTGATAACCCAGGTATTTTATTAAATAAAATTAAAACTGCCAGTAATTCCGTCTCAGAACCAACTGCAACATCTAGTATTGACACTATTAATACTAAAAATGTTGAACCTAATATTTTTAACAGTTTAATCTGTGAACGTTTTCCTACTGACAAAGTTCATTTTAAAGAACCACTCAGTTACTAAGAAAAACGTTTTATAATTTCTCAAGGCCCTTGTCAACCTTAGGGTCCATTTCCAACTGACAGTGATAATTCTAGATCATTTTCAGAAAAATTTTACTATTTTACAAATCAGGCTAATATTACTTTAAAAAGTGCATGGCTATATTAATCATTAACTTTAAATAAAATATATTGTCAATGCTGCTGGTTGTTTTTTACACAAGATAGAATTAGTTCATCTTGGGTTACGGGAAATAATGATTGGAGACATCTAACTCAAAATATTAAACGCCATGATAATTCAAATGATCATATTCAATGTTGTATTATATTTGAGCAATGGCGCCTAAATAAAACTATTTCCGAAGAAATGGAATTATCTATTCAAAATGAATGTAAGTTTTGGAGACAAGTATTAGATCGGGTTATAAATGTCACATTAACATTAGCTACATCCAACTTGTCTTTTAGAGGTCACCGAGAAACAGACTTGAGTAAAAATAAAGGTAATTTTTTATCAATAATTACCCTTATTTCAAAATATGATCCCATATTAGAAAATCTATTGAGTATGCCAGCCGGTAAGGGTACAGCAAATTATTTAAGTAACACTATTCAAAATGAGATTATTACTTTACTCGCAAATCCGATATTAGAACAAATTATTTTAAGTATTAACCGATCACCATTTTTTTCTGTCATAATGGATACTACTCAAGACATTAGTAAGATTGATCAACTAAGTCAAGTTATTCGATACGTTTCGGTTATTTCAGACTCTGATGGTAATCCTAAAACATTGCAAATAAATGAATCATTTATTGGCTTTGTAGAAATTGTTGACCAATCAAGTGCTGGTTTAGAAGAATCTATTATTAATTGTATTACAAAAAATAATTTAAATTTGTCAAAACTTCGTGGTCAAGGGTATGATGGGGCTGCCAACATGAGTGGTGTATATTCAGGTGTCCAGGCTAGGTTAAAATTTAAACAAAAATTGGCTACATATATCCATTGTGCTTCACAAAATTTGAACTTAGTTCTAAACGATGCAATGAATTCATCAACGGAAGTAAAAACTTTCTTTGGACTTGTGGAAAAAATGTATACATTTTTTTCAAATAGTATTAAACGTTGGCAATTACTTTTATC